AATGCAAAAGATTGCTAAAATGTACTCCTCCCCCTCCCCCCCCAAAAAAGTTAAAATAAGTGACAAGTTCAAATTTAGCCTCTGGTGTTCTAAGCATGACTTGGACTGTTTTCATTTCAGTTTGAATGTCTTTTTCTTTACCATCGGTTATTTTAAGCAAAAGATAATATAAATGATGCTAATTTTGAGTTTAGGGTGAGAAGGCTTTCCATTGAGAGCAAGTGGGTTTGTTAACGTCTGACACATGAAAACTCACATAAATCTTTAAATATTAATTCTACATATGATTTTTTAAAATTCTGTGGTGAAAGAGTTTTTCATACATATTAGAGCAAAATTCTGCTTCATAAAGAATTCCCAGTCAGGCTAAAGAGAAATCTGGTGGTGATATTCTAGTCCCATTGAAATCCATGATAATATATCCACAAAGTCAGGGGTTCACTCTCATCATGGAAAGTATCTGTCCCTCTGTCCCAAATCAACATGAGGCATGGCCTCTGTTGTCAGAACCTCAACCTCGTATCTTTGTATGGGTGGTAGAATATTTTGTATCTTAGCCCCTCTTCAAAAGGAAAATCATGTATGTATTATAAGAATCACCAGTTAAGAGTCAAGGGAAAGAAACTGTACTATACCTTCCTCTGTGAATGCTTGTAGCTACTGTAGGTATTTAAACAGAAAATATCCTCTAAATCTTCTGCCATTTCAAAACCCTATTGAAATAGGTGGGCTGTAGCCCATAATTTCTGACTTCTTTATGAATCCTGCAGCATGAAAAGCTCTATTGTAAGATTGTATTCTATTCTTGTCTATTCCAATATCCATATATTGTAGGTACTGTATTAACGCATGTAAATGAATAGTGTGTTGAAACAAGTGGAACATTTTAACAGGCAGTGCGTACAATATTACACAATGCATAAAATATCATTTAATTGCAGTATCTTTACTTGTCGTGGGTATAATTGCAGTTAATAGGCAAAAAGTATATATTTTTTGGTAATAAAGTACTAGGAACTCTATGAGAGAGAATGCAGTATGTTGGGGTTCATGACTTCTTTCTTTCCTAATTGATAAAAGCATAACATCTTTATGGAGTAACAAATTTGTCCCAACAAAAGTGCATGAACACTAGATTCATTTTATGCTTGCCTCTCTTCATTATAGCTCAGTCTATTGCATGGCTTATTTGAACAGGGAATACAGTTTGCTGAAGAGAAGATGATTTTGTGGTAAAGCCACTAGCATGGGATTAGAACGTTTGGGTTTAACACTCCATTCTGGTTAAGACTCCTTGGGAGCATTTACATATGTGCTATACTGCAGAGTTGACTAATTGGCTCCACAGTAATGCATCACTGTCTATATGTGTGGCACTATTAGGCTGCAATAAACTAATTAACTCTGCTGTAGGATAGTACTGTCCAACACAAATACTATCCTACAGTGGAGTTAGTTACTCTGTTGCAATGTACATGTAGACAGTGCCCAGAGCTGGCTGAGTCACAAGGGTGATACAGTGCAGGGGCTACCTGCTGGTTAGCCCTGTACTGTAGCACCCTTGTATTCCAGCCAGCCCCTCCACAACATGTTGAGCCAGGGAGGAGCAGCTCTGGGCTGGCAAGCTGACCCCCCAGACCCTCTGCCGGGTGGGGCTGCACCGCTCTGGCTCAACTTGTGGTGGTCCTGGGCATACATGTAAATGCTGAGCCCAGGAACAATAAACTCTGGCACAAACTGCACCAGTTTGTTCCAGTGCATTAATATCATGTGTAGATGCACTCCCTGTGACCTTTAATTCCCCATCTGTAATTTGGGAGGAATCATATCTCTCCATCTCCTCTTCTCCATCCATATACTTCTTTGTCTCTCCTTTCTCTTTAGACTGTAAGATCTCCAGAGCTAATTTTCCTGTGTACAGACATACAGTAGCTAGCATAGCGGTGCGATTGCACATATAGCAAGACAAATAACACATAATTTAGATTAGTCACTATACAGCTTGCTGTTATGAATTTAGGGTACAACAGACATGTTAGAATAACATTTTGTGCATATATACTTTTTTACACATATAACTCCATAGCTAAAGTTGCAAGTCCACAAAAATCTCCAGCTAAAGGAAGAAAGTGGTGAATATAGGATTTTTAGTTCCTATATTTCAAATGTGAAAATAAATATTTCAAGTTAGATTGAAAGGTAATTTTTTCAATCTCTTGGGCATGTTGAAGCTGAAAAAGATTTGTTTCGGTTTGAATTTTGCAATGTCCAAGAAACTGTTTCTATTTCCATACTTTAAAAAATAGGTTTGGAATGGTTTTTTTAAACTAAATTTCAGGGAATTTTGAAACAGGGTGAATTTCAAACCAAATTAAAACATTTAATATAAAATATTGAAAAAAAACTCTATCAGGTTTTGAAGGGGATTTTTAAAAGTTTCTCAAAATAAATAATTGGGCAAAATGGACATTTTATTAAACGTTTTAGTATTTCTGACCCACTTTTTTTCTAGCTCAGAGTCTATCACCAAGGGTGCAGACAGAAGTGACAATTTTTGCCTGATTTGGCTACAGAAAAAGATCTATATCCATGACAAAACACAAATGCAGGGCTACAAACTGCTTTAAAATGGCCAATTGGGTGAAAATCTTAACCTTTGTTACGTAAGGGTTCAAATGAAGATGTTTCAAAACATAGCATCTTCTGTAACTTGTGTCTGCCTGACTGCCAGCCTGTGAGCAGTTTTCAGAATGGAAGCGGGGAAAAGGAGTGGAGGGAGTTTGGTCTAGAGTTCTTTCAGTCCCTGCTGGAGGGTAGGGTGGGTGTATCTGAGCCCCCTGGAGGGGGGCAGGGGGTTCCAATTCACCCACCCTACCCTCCAGTGCCAGCTGGGGAACCCCTAGAATGAGCTGTACTTTGTCTCTGACCCCACTTCACTTCCTTATCCAATATGCAGACTCCATTTACCATGTGTATCTCAGTGGTTTGAACTGAATACCATTACATGAATATATTTAGTGCCATGGTATCTGGTGCCTACTGATGAGGTATATATGTTTAATGGATTTGAATTCTATGCACCTTCTTCTGTCATTCAGTTCGTGAGTGAGGCTTTTGCGGCATGTATTAGAGCAATTCAGGAAAAGGTCATTTTTGTCACTTGCATTATATTTTCTAAACTGTTAGCTGCACCAGCTGCTGAAGCACGTGTAATATAAAATAACACGATTTAGGATGTCTGGGTAGAGAAAGCTTATCCAAGTACTTCTAAATTATCAATTTTTTATAACCATATGTCTCAAATTAGCTGCCAAGATCCTATTCCCTGTTATCCTGAAGGATAACAGAATATTTTATTGAGAAAAAAACATTTTTTTTCATCCTTAGTATCCATAACTGGATGTTGTATCATGCTGTATTATGGACCGTATGCCTACCTATACAATGTAGTGGAGAGTGTGTAAGTGATTTAATAGAATATAAGGTATAATTTTTAACGTCATGGCAAAGACTCTCTGTGTGATTGTGCACAACATATGGGCTTTAATTCACTGATATTTGGGTGACTTTTAATGTGGATGGCAAAAAACACATCCTTTATACCGAGGGCATCTCTCTATCAAAGTACAATTCCTTGCTCCTAATAGGAAGAGAAATCTAAAGCTGCCCAGTGAAGATGACACTAGGATTTTTTAGCACAGTCAAGACAATAAACTGTTAAACTTTAGGGAAAAAAATTCAAGCAACTTAAAATGAGATCCTAGAATAGAAGTATGGGGCAACCTTCCCAATGGGCATATACTATAATAGGCTCATCAATAACATAAATACTATATTTATTTGAATACAAAACAAGGGTTTTTCCCCCTGTCAGTGTGGGGGAAAAGCTCCTTGTTTATATTCACATACAAGGAAACCTCATTAAGTACATTGTCTATCATTAAACTTCTGCCAAAAGCAGTATGTCTTCAGTAATGGAAACCAACTATGACGCTGATTAAATACGACCAACATTGAGTATGTCTATAAAGTACATGGCCCATATTGGGCAAACACACTGATGGGAGCCTTTTTGGGGTTTTTGGCCCTTTAAAAAAACAACAGGTGGCTGTTCTCTCTACAGGGAATTGGAACCAGGCCTAGAAACACTGCAATACTTTGTCAGCACTAGAAGAGCCAGAGCCATCCCCCACAGTCTCCCCATGGTACCAAAAATGCCACATTTGATATTATCCAAAAGACTTGAGATGCTGATGGGAACTCTATCACAAAAATAGATTAGTGCAATCCGTCTGAATAAGATTGATGTTAGTGCCTGTTGCATGCAGTCCCCCTCACTGCTGAGACTTTTTCAAGTCATGGTGAGCCACTACATTGAATATATATTGACTTCCCATTCGCTCCCATAGCTGAGCTGTGTCTTTCTTTCCCATTTCCAATTATTCCTGTTTCACTAGCCTTATAATGTCTGAAAAACATCATGAAATTGGACCCCAAACAGTTCACTCAGAATCCTGCTGTTGACCCGCTCTCTCAGCCTGTCACATATGATTAGTGTGATTCTGGTCTCCATGAGGTGGAGTCATACCGGATTACCTTGCACCTTGTCTGTATATAAATTTTTGGAGAATCCCAGGACTCATGACAAGAACACCCAATTCCTGGCATGACTGGGTGGAGGAGGGGGGGGTACTACTTAACACATGGATCCTTTGTGGTGGTGGGTATTAAGAGTATACATACATACTGAGCAGTCCTGAGCTGTGGAGACACCATTGCTGGAAATGCTGTTGACTCTTCTGGGGCCCAGCCTAATAAACTATATGGTAAATCATAAGCCTTTTGCCTTTGGACTAATATCATACCATGTTCTGTTTAAAAATACATTTATGGAGTATCTGTGCTAAAAC